GTTTGAATAAGTGACGTGGTCCGACACGCCACCGACTTTATGTTACACTGCACAATGGAGAATGATCAGAAAAAACATCTTTTGTACTCGAAGACAGTAGCAGAGCAGGTTTTCGCAGTCAATTCAGAAGAGATCAAGGTTTAAAATAAACTGGAAAATTTTGACAGACAGGTATAATCTTGAAAATAAATTTGGATTCTGTTGATTTGGCTACGTTAGCCTCAAACACGCAATCAACTTTTACAGGTCTAATGTGAACAGTACCTAATAGTCGCTGAACTAATAATCTCGTTGCTGCTGGTAACATGCAAAAAATAATTTTTATATCAAAAGATCATCTATGTCATTATGAACTACCACACAAATTCTGACAGACATACGTAGCTACTGACGACAAAAAAAATCCTCTTAAAGTAAACCAAATAAAATACAAAATATTCCCCATGTATGTACTTATACTTATAAAATCAGGAACCGTACACAAGCATTTATAGGCATCGTCCAGGCCTTAACGCCATATTGTACGTGACACCATATGAGGTATTATTTATTCTGAACACGTGCTACCCAACACTTTATCTTGAGAAATGGATGTGGAGACCGATGTAAACTTTACACGGCATCGTATAGAGAAGGAAAACCAAAAAGAACGTCTTTTAAATATTAGAAAATATTAGAAGTTTGGAGGGGAAAACACAGTAGGAGAATCGTGACTTGAATGTAAACTCGTAAAGAGAAATGTGTTAAGGCTGTTGCTGATTATTATCGCTTTATAATGTTAAACGTGATAAAATCTTTCCAAGAGGAAGTAAAACAAGACAATGTAAAGAAATAAGACACTCACGATTGTCTCTGATTTCATATTGCTTTCAACACAGTTTAGCGATAAAGTTGCGGAGAAATGGCAAAGATTTCGAAATTCGAATCCATAATAAACAGACAATATTGAGTACAAGAATAAATAAGATCAAATGAAGAAGTTTCACTTTAGAAATTGTAAGTATGATTAGATTCGGAAATGTGACATAAATTACTGATATTTTACAGCGCCATCTTCACATTGCTTACATTAAATGTTGAAATAACATTAACACATAAGAATATGTTTTAATAAGTGACATGCTCATTAACAACGTCTACAGAAAATTTCATTAGTCACACTAGTTTCAATATTATGTGCAATACAGATCTGTTTCAGGTAGTGAATTCTAGTCTAATGGAACTGCAAGTAATGACCATTATTCTTAGTTATGAGTTTTAAATAAAGTTAAAATCTTAAAGCAATTAAAATTTTTATAATCGGTTGTTTAACAATGTCGAAAGAAATCAATTTAACTAATTGCATAAATATTCTACAATAAGAATGGAAACAGCACAATAACGCACAGCAGTGAGTGTTATATTTTTAATGATATGTTTGATACTAAAGATATCTTGTTTGTTCCCACTAATATAAAAATAAACAAATCTCATATTATTCTGATAAGAATAAGAAATGTTTCTAGCGGTGAGCTTATAATCGAAAGAGGGAAAGTTGAAATGGGTATGCTCGCTTATTCAAAGCACGTGCGTGAGCAGATCGGACAGGGTGTCACCACTAATTAGAGTATCTCCCCACCGCGGTCAGAATGTAGCAGACAATGGTGCAAATGTGCGAGAGGTTTTTGCAACATTCTACGGGAAACGGCTGCTTTATTAAATGCGAACTTTTGACCTCACGATATTAGTATAATTAAGGCCGCGTCAAATGTTTCAAGTACTTGGGGGAGTTGCGCATTCTGCCTTTGTACAGAAGTCGCAATGATAAATGATTTGGTTCATCTCAGCAAATTTCAATATTTCAAACATGGAACATTTAAATAGATTTTATTAAAACGAAAAACGATTATAATCTTTTTTTTAAATAACATCAAAATCGAAAAGGATAAGCTTTTACGTTCGACGGGTATATTTTTATGTACGTATTTTTCCACAAATTGTAAAGCGAATTTCAAATTCATTTTTTATTCGAAAGTTTATCGGCCTAAAGTAGTATAAGACTTAAGTACCATTAGACTTCTATTGAAATCGGATTAGCAGTTTTATTTTTAACATTTTTAACGATGTTTTTAAGAATACCCTAGTTTTGACAGCTACAATGTATTTGATACTGATTGCGCATACGCTACGTACAAATTCTTCAACTCGCTCTTTTGCTGATTCAGTAAGTTTCCATATAAGAGTTCCATTCCACTTCTCTACCTGACATACCGAAAGGTAATGGCACAGACGTATCAACATTCACTGCACGACTCGACATTCAAACATACTAAAACTAATCAGGACTTACTCCGAGTTACGCTGTTGGCTAGTAATACTCGACAAAGCAACGTTTGTACAGCGAAACCGTTAAGTTTCTCCTAACTTAACGAATGCCAATGTGCTGAAAATATAAATGGATTTTAAACTTCGTTCGTTATGTTTGTTTTATCTTGAGTGTTTTGTAACGTTTTTCCAGTTAAAAATCCTAAAAAGGTAGTGGTAGTGACAAAATATTCAATTTTTATAAACCACATTATTGCTCGAAATTTGAATATAATAAAACTTCAACATAAAATTAAAAAAAAACCCCGATTAAGTTCTATTTTCTATTAAAGGTCTGCGTTGCCCATTTCAAGGCGAGAGGCTTCATTAAAAGTTGATCAACGTTTCGATGCTGGGATATTAAGAAAAAGTTTAATCTGAAATCCAAACTACCAGGTGGATAATTAACGCCATGGTGAAACAAAAATAGCTGATGTTTGAATTATATTCATTTCTATGTAAATTGCCCGTTAACTTGTTTTGGGATAATGATGAGGGTAAATTGCAATTAAAAGCTGTTTACTTCGGCGTTGCGTCGATAAAATTATCTATAAACATCAATATGAATGACTTGACTGGTAATTGCTTTAATTTTGTTGTTCTAACAAAAGGGAAAGCTCGAGCGTAAATTTTCAATGTAAATTTGACATTAAAAAGGGACCAAAATAAAACCAAAAAATAAAAATACTTAAATGATATGGTTAAAATTAGTACGATATGATAAAAACACGTACAGCTATTTGATTACTACGTACAGCTATGCGGAGTTACAATAAAAAATGAGGTTACCGAACTTTCCAGAAACACAGTAAACGGTAGTCATTGCTATTGTGACATCGGTGGCCCTTCTCTACTCTTTCCTTTTTTCTTATACAACTTTTGTTGGGCACAAACAGAGCGCATAGAATCTTGAGCATTTTTATTATGATGCTAAGAGAAATAAATATCTGTTGCGAGAACAATTCGCGGTAACCAACATACGTATACTGACGTCACTGATACGGAATTTAAGCATTCGTTTATCACGATACACGATGCTGTTGATTATAAATCATGAACTGAAACAGACAACACTCGAACATTGTTCAATAGAAATGGTAAATGATGCGAATTGGAAAACCAGTTCGATCTCAAGATGCTGTCTCAAATAAAAACAATCTACTCGTAATTTCTTGTTCCCGTTTAATCATATAGTTAAGATGACAACTTTCTTTGATATAAAGATTAAGGGAGAAGAGGAATTTCTATGTGAACATTTTTTAGACAAAATATGACTTCAAATACCTTAAAAAAGTGAAAACAATAATAATTCAAGAATCTTGCCAGAACAGTGACTGGAAAATATGTGCAGGACCAAAAGACTTAAGTACGAGTATGTTGACATGAGAAGAGTTTAATGATGAGCAAAGACAAAGTCGTATAGAGATTGGATCATTCTGCCTGTTCGATTTTAATTTCATTAGCTTATTTGATTCGTCCGCATTGTCGTATTGAATATCGCTCACATCTCACGTTATTCATTTAATATTTCGTTTTCCAATCATAGATTTTAAAAAAATGCGTGTTTCAAACAATAGCCCGTTCATGTTTGAGTTGCTATGGAATTGATTTGCTAACAATAGAATGTTTTGGACCATGAAAAACGATTCACTAAATCCATTGCATGTCTGCCGCTTTGATTTATGGGAAGTTGATTGAAGATTGTATATTGTTGTGACACTTGTGATGTCAACAATGTCACTTGGTGCTACGAGTGAGCTATTATTGGAGTCAACAAAGTACCTCCCGTTACATTGTTAAGGTCTATAAAACGAGTAGTATAAATACTACACAGTATTTTGAATAAACTAATATGTGCTATCCTTTAAATTTCGGAGTGCACATCTAGAGTGTGTATAATGTAACCCAAATACTTGCCTACATAATACGCACCATATTATTTGACGAAACATAAAATCATCAATATGGTATATATATAGACTTAAACCACATCATGAACATTTTTTCGAACATTAAAACGATAAAGCAATCGGTACTGATAAGTCAGTAGATTCACTTAAACACAATGTAGTCAAAATGTATCTCGAGCACACGTAATTTGATTTACGGGAACGTCTCGTGTCGGGGCGTTGTCGACGTGACGTGTCAAACTCAAGTGCTATGAGTTCTTATACAATTTAAGGTTTTATATTATTTGAATATAGTCAAATTATCAACATGGAAGATCAGGTATTATGTAGCTTATATATTTGGTTAAAGGTCTCACTAATGTAGAGGTGTGTAGTTAGGGTTTTGTCCTTTTGAATTGATCTGAAAGCCACATTGAAATGACGAAAAAGAGAGAAGTTTTTTTTTCTTAATAAGGGTACTAATGTGATTTGGTTTTATCGTGAAACTTTTAAACTTTAAGCATGAGCTAGGTGCATCGAGTGCAAAATTACACTTCAGGTACTTTTGATTATGGAATTTAAAATAGATTACTTTAGCTCCTAAGAAATTGATCTAAAGAGATATTACTAGATCGCAATGAATTTTGAAGAAAAAAAAAGTTAATAATGTTGACAGGTTAATTTGGTTTAATATCAGGAATATTTAGTGTTTGTTCTAACCCAAGATGTACTCTGAAATAAAATATAGGATAGAGGAACGGAACGTACCACGAGTGCGTGTCGCACCCGTCTTTTCGCCGCGGCGTATGGCTCCCTATTATGCTGCAGGAGGCGACCTGAAACAAGGAAAAAACAATATTAATAGCATAAACAAGGAAATCGTTTTAAGTGGCTGTTTAAGTGTAATAAATTTATATATATATAGTATTATAATCAATTATACTATATATAAACAGATTTCAACAAAATAACGTAAGAACATGTGTTGGCACTAACAATGGATGCCTGTTTCCGCGTTACAAACTGTAAGACCATTAGTTAGCAAATGAGTATTTACTAAGCTTAAATTGTCTACATTCAGAACAGATCGAGAATCTCACAGGATGCAGTTCAGAGAAACATTGTGTTAATGGAATCCGATTATGGGTCAGACTCATACGTTTGAAACTGAGGGTACAGGGGACTCGTTCTATTTAGGGCTCGCTGTTACTGGCTTACGTGTACGTGTTGTGCGGATTAATTATTGCGTTACAAGGACTGCGGCCTATATAAGCTTCTATTATAAATTGAAGTTAACGGGACCGCATTAATTAAAATAGGTGAAGGGGACAATGTATACAAGTAACTAATACTTAGGTGTGGTGACATAAGCGACTTTGTAAATTATCATGAACATTTAGGTAGGTACTGTAGGAATCAGATCATATCAAACTACTTTAACATTATATTAACATTATATATGATTATCTTTGAAGATCTATATTCTTTTCAAAGACTGGACTTACTTTTATCAACTAATAGACGTCTCTCAAAACGTTGAAAATAAGTCCAACGTCGATTTTATCTTAACACCCCAAAGAACTCAATATCTCGGAAGCGGGTCACACAATAAGAGAGGGCCGAGGGCCCAAGGAGGAAGGACAAATAACCAATTAAGGTCAGTCTTCGGTTGGGGCAGACGTGCAAATATTTGCGGAGCGTCTTACTGTGACGTATTAGGAAGGTACACACTATTTACCTTGAACGCACTTTTACTTTTGATCACAGGTTGTCGATTCAAATGTATGTCTAGAATAGGTAGGGCTCGGTCCATATTTGGGAACTATAAAGTGAAGGTAAAAATCTAACCGAAATGTAACGTGGCTCTTTTTCTAAATATAATACAAAAATATGCGAAGAAGCTTACTTGTTAGATATTGAATTTATCAAACAGCCAAGTTAAATCCTTTAAATTTTATGAAAAAAAAAGGAAATAATAGTACGTTCGCAAGATGGTGTTAACTACACAGTGCACTATGAAGTTATGAGAAGAATGACACTCCGAGATAGTAAGTAACCTTCCTACTGTTGTCTAAATAAAACCTAAATAAATAAGATAGCGTATATCAGATTTGTAATGATGGTGAGTACGTCACAGCTATCGCATTACGACAAATCTCATATAAACATTATGCTAAAAAATAGAGCAGTAAAATAAAAAAATATTATTTTATTTCTTCAAATATAAAATATTTTTAGTTTAATACCTATTGGAAACAATACAGCAGCACTCAAAGCAGATTGAAAAAAACCATTTGATAGATTACTTTTGCTTTAACTAGTTTTAGTAAAAGTACCTACTCTAGAAGTAGAAGTACTTTGAGCGTTGTAATTTATCTTCTCATTAGCTTTTTTGTATATAACGCCATAAAAAACGACTAATAGTGACGTAACAATCGTAATAGAAGATGCAATTCAAATCTCTAACCAAAGTATTATGTCAAATGATTGAATTCAGTTTTATAGTAGAGTAAAGTACGTACGATACGCATTGCGAAAATCAGCAGTACTTATCTAGATGATGTAATTATATTTACACCAGACATCAAGACTGTAAAGATATGACAGTCGTATAGACATGAATTTCGCGTTAAATTAAATATTAGTTCTGATATTAATACTACATGAAAATATTCATGTCTGTTTGGTACCTTGAAGTAGTAAAGATTAAGCTTAAATAAATAAGGAACGACTCGTGTTGAGTTTTTAAAATTATCATATACAATTTAGGGCAATACATGTAATCATATTTTGAAATCATTATAGACTAGCGTAGCGACTGCAGGACGTCATGGAACTAGAATAAGAAGGAAATGATTCATATGTGCGATATAATTCTATATTACGAATGTGACATATTGTGATGACTTCACCATGCCATAGTTCAAATGACTACAGTGTACCAATAATAAGAGCACAATGCTATACGAAGGCGTTAATATCATTGTCACATAGTGAAAAAAGTCCAGATCATACAATAATTACAATTACGAGTACTTTGGAATTTTCATGACCGATACAAAAAAAAATACTTGCAAATAGAATTTTACGCTGTGACGTTGCTAATGTAACATTTTGAAAATAAATATTTTTTTTGATTAGCGCTTTTAGGCGTTGTTCACGTGTTGCAAAAATGTAATTAACGCAACCGAAATTCATTGCCCTAATGTACACAGAAGTTTGCAGCGAAACAGAATGTGATGGCGTATAGGAGCAAGTACGGGCTGGTGATGTCATTGTAGCATCTTCGCATATAAAATCAACTGAATTCACGGTTTAAATTCATTATCAAACAAATAACATATTTAAAAGTCAAGATTAACATAGATGGAATTCCAAAAATGTCAATTAAAACACTGGCTCGCAGATGATCACTCTCTGACCTTTTCGACAAATATATGAGATACGATCGATGCCGAAGACGAATTCGGGTGAGTCACATCTCCAGAACCGCCCTTGTTGGCTCGACTTATAAGCATTATGTGTCTAGACTCTCGGCGACGTCCAGGCGTCGTCGTCTATGGAAATATATCGACAATGACACGTATTTGCTGGTACCAGTGAGCGCGCAGGAGCGCCACCAAATGCGGATATTGAGGTTAATCCGATTCGCTGCCTCATACGAATATTAAAAGCCCCAAGCAGCGACATACCTGAAGATATCTTGAATGCAGTAATAAGACAAGAGGATGCAAAGGACGGAAAACACGAAGAGATGATGTTCCCGGAAAACCTTCTTATCTCCATATCACTTTAAGGGGCACCAAAAATTGTCCTGGAAAACGGCGCACCTCACTCATCGCTAGGAGCGACTTTTGGATTCATTTCAGGCATAGAATTTGTCACCTAATTTATCAGGCACTTGACTCATAATTGATTGTGAATTTTCGCGCGGCACCAAGGGAGCACACATTATAAGAAATAGTAACGGAGACACGTGCTTTCGAGGCAGAGAGGGACGGATTCACTGAACGTCCTTGGCGAGGGGGCGCGCGGGGCGCCTGCGGCATCAGACGTTTCAATCATCCCCGGGGGGGATAGGGATGCGTGTACGTGTGTTAGCCAAGTGAGAGCGAGAAAGCGGATGCCGTGCTATTGACCGGCCCGTAGACCACGCCCACCCGGGCGAGACACCACCGCGCTGATGTTCCAAGTGAAAATCGAACGTCGGCCCGGGCAGACGCGACGGGACGGGAGGCCGACTCAGTTGCACCATCAAGGTTATCCCTACGTACTTACTACTTATGCACTTTCCCTTCATATATTATGTATGATATCCCAATACTGACAGGATGCCGGGTATTATAATAAAACATTTGAAGTTTATCATATATTGGTATGAGAAATCCGTACAATTGGATGGCCCTTTCCAATCCATACGGGTCTTGGCACGGAAACTATGTAGGTTGCCTGCCAGAAAAGGACTTCGACATAAATGAAAGGGATGAAAGAACAGTTACGAGAGCGTTATGTACTCTACAACATTTTATTACATAATTATATGTATTATTACTTCGATTAATTATTACTAGTGGTCGCCTGGCGGGGCGGTAGAAATTATCAAATTATCAGATACTACTTCGTTATGAATGTTTGACATTCAGTAAACAGAACTGTCAAACGCATGGTAGTATGTTGTAACGTTTTTCTACGTAGCGTGTGTATTTTTTCTATATAATTTAATATATTTTTAAGCATTACATAAAAATTGCCATTTGCGTTTCTCCAAATAAACGTTATCTTTAAAAAACTAATCGTCTCTTGATTTTAATACATGCCATATTGTTTGAAACTTAAGAGGGGGCTTAATGAACAGTCCCAATCTGTCTTATTGCTGGGCGCAATAAGATTCACATGGACAGATGAAGGCCTATGGCTGCAAAGTGACCATATTTATAATTCTTTCCATATTAAAAAGGTACAACAACAATTATTAGTACTTACAATTTATTTATTTAAAGGTAATTTTGTGCTTATTTCTATAAACTTATAGATTCCCATTTTATCTGAGACGGAAAGACGACCACATTTGGGCAAATCGATTCCAGGCAGAGTTTGATCGGCCCACTCTAACCACTAGCCTATGACATATGGATAACATAAAGATATTCAGCAAAATATTACCAATCTAATGCATAATTTTGTGTTCGGAGGGTCTTCTGTTACTCAAAATATTTAACCGGTTAGGCGTTTATTCTAACACTGTTTCGTTCCCCTAATAGGGCAAGTTTAAACATGGGTCGCCTTGACCTGCATGCTATGTGATCGCATGCGAGAGGGTTACTTACCAAACGGGCTTTAATAAAAGCATGCATTTTGTTACCATAACTTACTCGTTTGAAAGCAATGACGTAAGGCTATACGATTTAATGCTAATAAAACTTACCAGGAAACGAGATATTTTATGACCTGTCGATGAGACAGAGACGCCATGGCGTAATGCGTAGATTAAAGCGCCAATTAATTACCCTGTTTACCATTATAATGAAATAAATGATGTATTTACTAAATTAGGTCTTGCTGCAAAATTAAATTCGCGTCTTCTCTTCGTAATTAAATACATTAATGATGGAGAGAAATTGAATCACCTAGGTCACTGACTTGACTACCGAATGCCAGAAGTTTACCCACTAAAACTCAGCGATGTCCCTCTCATGGTAGGCGATGCGCGGGATCGACCCAAAGGCCATACACCGCGCGGTTCGCCCCCATTTCGGCCCGCCATGAAAAGGGCAGGTCCCGCTCGGGTTGGGGGTACGCCTCAGAGACATTCGAGACGTACCCCCACGACGAAGCA